TGTATTGTTTTTTTAGCCTCCATTGCATTAATTTCTGCTCTAATCTTTGTAATTCCCCCCTTTTTCAAACTTTGCACCTAGCCTTCTTTTTCTCAGAGTTTGAGGTTCAACATTAAATTCATTTGATCTTGCTGTTTTCCTGACATGAGTATTCACTGATGAGTGAATTTCCCTCAGAGGACTGCTTTCTTTAGTCCCATTAGTTCCAGTACATTGTATGGTCATTATCATTTGATTGTAGAAACTAATTTCTTCTTTAATTTCATCTGGTTGTTCAGGAGGAAGCTATGTAATTTCCATGTGTTTATGAAGTTCTTGTGGTTTCTTTTGCCATTGATTTCCAATTTCATTGTACTATGATCTGATAATATGTATGGGGTAACTTCAATTCCTTCGCATTTATTTAAGCATGTTCTATGAGCTGTTATGTGGTCTGTTTTGAAGAACATCCTGTGTGCAGCTGAGAAGAATGTGTTTTCTGATGCTGTGGGATGGAACACTCTATAGACATATACTAAATCCATTTGTTCAAAACTTTGTTTCAGTTCTAATATTTCATTATTAATTTTTTCATCTAGTTGATCTATCTGTGAGAGTAGGATATTGACATCCCCAAATACAAAGCATTAGTGCTAATTTGATTTTTCATGCCTGTTAATATCTATTTGATACAGTTGGATGCACCAATACTTGTTGCATGTCTATTTATTTATGATTGTTAGCTTTTCCTCTTGGATTGTTTCCCTTTACAAGTATGTCATGACCTTCATCTTAGTTAATCAATCTTGACTTGAAATCCTGTGTCTATAAACAGAACAGCTCCCCCTGCTTTTCTTTGGGTTTCTTGAATGGAGTATTAACTGTCAGTCTATGAATTTCTTTTGAAATTAAATGTGTTTCTTGTGTACAGCATAGTGTAGGATCTTGCTTCTTAATCCATTCTGCCACTCTTTTGATTAGTGAGTTGAGACCATTAACATTGATGTTTATAACTGCCATGAATTGAGTTATCCTCACCATGGTATTTTCCTGTTGTTGGAGTCTCCCCACTCCCATTTAATTGTTTGCTTTGCCTAATAGATTCATCCTGTTGGGATTCATGGAGTTGTCCTTGTTATCTCTTTCTAGAATGTCCTTCAGAACATTTTGGAGTGCTGGTTTGGTGTTTACAAATTTCCTCAGGTGTTCTTTGTCATGAAAGTATCTTATTTCTCCATCAATTTTGAAATATAGCTTTGTGGAGTATATCAATCTGGGTTCGAGGTTTTCTTTTAGGCCTTGACATACTTCCCTCCAAGCCCTCCTTGACTTGAGGGTTTGTTTTCAGAAATCAACTGTGATTCTGATGGGCTCTACTTTATAGGTAATTTGTTTCTTTTCTCTACCAGCTTTTAATATTCTGTTCTTCTGTTGAATTTCTGGGTTTTGACTGTAGATTTATTTTTTATCATAGCTGGTTAGATTTCTATATGCCTCACTTATCTGTGTGTCAAGTTCTTTTTCCCTATCAGGGGAGTTTTCTGCCGTGATGTCTGTGAGTGAGTTTTTCATACCATTTGTGCTATCTCCTGCTTTTTCATTGACTCCGATCAATCTTATGTTATTCTTCTTTGCTGCTGAGGCTGCAACAAAGGCTGCTGGATTGATTTCTCATGATCTCTTGCTGTTTTTAAAAAATCTTTATTTTCATGATCACTAACCATAAGACTATCTCTACATCTGAGATTCTGTCCTCACATTGGTTTATTTTGCTGCAGATATTTTTGATGGAATTTTTTTTATCTTTTTTTTTTAATTGATACTGGGGATTGAACTCATGACTGCCTGCTTGCAAGGCAGGTGCTTATGCCGCTGAGCTAAATCCCCAGCCCCATTTTTGATGGAATTGTTAGCCTCCTGAATATGTGAAAAACAGAAGTTCCTCAAAAAACTTAACATACAATTACCTTATGACCCAGCACATTTTCTCCTAGGTATATACTCCCCCAAAATTGTGAACAGGTGTTTTGTTATTGTTGTTGTTATCGTCTTTTTGAGACAGGGTCTCAATATGCAATTCAGGTTGACCTTGAGCTCACTTTGTAGTCAAGACTGGCCTTGAACTCATAACAATTCTTCTGCCTCAGCCTCCTGAGTGCTGGAATTATAGGTGTGCATCACTATGCCCAGCCTGAACAGGTGTATTTTTAAAAATATATAAAGGCATGTTCATAGCACAGTGTTCATGTTAGCCAAAGATCCATTAACTGATGAATGGATAAATAAATGTGGCACACGAGCACAGTGAAATATTATTTGGCAATAAAAAAGAACTAATATAGATGGATCTTGTAAACATGCTAGGTAAAAGATGTCACGAAGTGCCACATGTTATAGATTCCATTGATAAGAAATGCGCAAAATGAGCCAATAAAATAAGAATGGAACATAAGTGGTTGCCTAGGACTGAGAGGTGGGCATTGAATGATAACTAAGGGTAAAAAGATCTTCGTGGGTCTTAAAATTTTCTGAAGCCATTAATTAGCACAGTTCAGGTGAATTGTATATTTATGTAAATAATATCTCAGTGACTCTGTTTTAAAAAATGTTCTCAAGTTGGATAATTATTATATGTTTATAATTTTAGCTACTGGGAAGGCTGAGCAAGAGAACAGTAAATTCAAGCCCAGCCTGGATAGTTTAGTGACTATCCAGACCCTGTCTCAAAAAAGTATTTTTTTAAGGGCTGGAAATGTAGTTCAGTGCGAAGACCCTAGATTTAATCTCCAGTACCTCAAGAGAGGGAAACAAAGGAAAGAAAGAGAAAAAAATTCAGTCAGTGGTAGCCATCTCCAGGATTGCTTCTTGTATGTCCAGAGTAGGTCTTTCGCCTAGCAATTTCCACAGCAGACATCTTTAGATGAATATTCTCTCGCTCTCTGTGTCTGTCTGTCTGTCTGTCTGTCTCTGTCTCTCTCTCTCTCTCTCTCTCTCTCTCTCTCTCTCTCTCTCTCTCAGTTTCTAGGAACATGTCTGACCTTCAGACTTCCCTTCTGTCTGATTTACCATAATTGGGTCATAGTCCTTCCAAGACAATCACTACAGAGAAAGGGGATTTCTCTGCTTTATTTGAACTAACCAAGATGGACCACCTATGGGAGTAGGCTGGGTTCACTTTCCTAAAGCACCTTGCTGGGAAGAATATAGCAAATCCCCAAGCCAGTCTGGGGTCCTGTTGGCAAGACTAAGGGGGCAAATAGTTGTCTATTGCTTTGGTAGCCAATAGTATCTGCTAAAACATCACAAAACAACTGGCTAGAAGGTTGGAAAAAATGAATTCTGGCTAGATTATAGTATTTCATATTATTGGAGAGGTTTTTTTTTTAATTAAAAAATACAACTTTAGGCTGGGCATGGTGGCTTACAATCCCAGCACTCAGGAGGCCAAGGCAGAAAGATCGCCATGAGTTTGAGGCCAGGATGGGCTACAAAGTGAGTTCAAGGCCAGCCTGAACTGCATAGTAAAACCCTGTCTCAAAAAAAAAGAAAAAAGAAAGGAAAGAAAAACCACCTTAAAAGTATATGGACTTCCAATGAATATTTCCCAGCCCCACAGCCCTGCATAATGAAAAGTTTAGGAAACTGTTTTTAGGATATTTCAAAAGTGTGGCCCATGTATCTACATGTTTCTAGATGTCCCCCACAAAGCCTCTTGCAGTTCTAGCTGGGGCTTTTCAGAAGTGGCTGGATCTAGGTTGTGTGGTGCTAGGATTAAGGATGCCACGCTAGGATTAGAGGTACGAATGCTACTCGCCCTGAGGGTGGGTAGCCTGGATAAAATGTAAGGGACCCAAGGAGCGCTGCTTTTGTGTCTTGTTTCTTGCTTGCTTTTGCTGTTTTTCACCTCCCATGAGCTGCTTTTCCTCTGTGATGCCCTTCTGCCAGGCCACCCTGCCTTGGAGCCAGCTAACTATGAACTCAAACTTCTACAGACTCTGAGCCAAAATAAACCTTTCCCCCTTTAACTTTGGGTGTCAGGCATTTTATCTCAGCAATGAGCAAAGTAACTGAAACAGTCTCCAAACTGCAAGCTTCGTAAGTGCAAACAATCTCACCTCCCTTTAAAGTCAGTTCTTGCAAGGAATTAGAAGTAAGCTAGATAATCCATAGAAGGGCTATTTTCATTAAGTAAATCAGAAGTTTTATCTAAACCAACAAAAATGAGGAGAGGTTAATTTTATTTTTGCTTTTGTAGAGTATTATTTCCTTGACAAATACTAGAATCACAGATATTAATTGTAATTTTAAAACTTAGCGTTTTTGTGATGGATCATCGAATTGGGCATTTTCCAGTCTTAGTCTAGTAGGTATTTGCTGGATCATTTGCGGTATATCTGAGGGGTTCATTTGGTGATAATCACTCAAGTTCTGCTTATTCTTGTGAATCCATTTAGTACAAGGTTTGTTATTATAAAAATGTTAAATAACATTGGGGTCATCATGTCTTCCTTGGTGATGTAATTAATTTCAAAGACACACTAATGCGTTTTATGTGGTGGTATCTGGAATTAATTTAAATTTGTTCCATTTATTAAAACAGAGCTAAAAATCAAGAGGGAGGAGAGAAAGGGACTTATACACCTTGAGCTCTACCAGGGCTTCTCTTCACCCACCTCTTCTTAATGTACTCATTGTGATTCTGTATAAATCAGTACCTCATGTTATAAATACCCTCAAGACCAGAAAAATTAGCAACTTGCCTAAGTTTATACCATTAATATAAGTGGGGGAGCCAGTCATATTGACTCTAAAATCCCTAGAGTCTCCTGAATTATAGTGTGATAATTAAATGGATCTGCTGAATTTGCGTATTTGTTTAAAAGCATACTAAGTATCCAAACACAAAACAGATTGGGCTGGGGATTTAGCTCAGCGGCATAAGCACCAGCCTTGCAAGCAGGCAGTCGTGAGTTCGATCCCTGGTACCAAACAAAAACAAAAACAAACCACAAAACAGTTTATCTGTTGCTGAATGACATTTTATTAGCTTAATAACTTGGGCCTGCCCTTAGCATTAATAAGCTTCAGTACTAGGTCACATTTTTAGACACTGGTGGGGAAACTTTCTTGTTTTAAAAAATGCAATGAGAGAAAGGGCATCTACTTCTTGGGGGCTGCAGTGACAGCAGGCTTCTCCTCACGAGTGATGGGGATGGTGCGCTCGGGGACAGAGACCTGTTTCCTTGGTCCGTTTACAGTCAGGACCCCGTCGGACGACAGGGAGGAAGTAATGGTGAGAGGGTCCACGTCAGCGGGGATCCGGTACTTCCTGTGGAACTCCCTGGAGATGAAACCGTGTTCGTCCTGATCCAAGAGGAGGAGGAAGGAAGCCGAGAAGTAAGAACAGGCAACAACACTGTGTGCCTAGAGCTCAGACACGCGCTCTTCTCAGGTGCAACCAAATGCCAATGACACGAGCAAAGCAATAGCTTTTCTTCTCAGGTTGGCGGCTAGCATGAAGTTGCCTAAGTGTTCACTCCTACTAGTAAGTGAGAGGCCGAGAATCTGAAGCAACCCAAAACTTCACAGTGTTTCAAGCTCTGAGGCACAGTTACATTTAGGGGTATTAAGGACGTGCTTTAGATGAATATTGACTGAATATACAGGATTTAGAATCTCATCCTGGCACTTCGGATATGAATCTCTGAGCAAGCAGAGAAATTGTCCTGATTCTTTAGGAATGTCTCAGAATATTCCAGACCAATAGGGGAGACTGTTACCCAATCTTAAAATATAGGAGCAAAACTAAAAGAGTCTGAGACATTAAATTGTATTTATACACAGGTTCTGAGTTACCATTAACTAAGAAACAATTTTAAAAAACCTTTTCAGAAAGTCATAAGAAACTATTCCATTCATCAGAACTTCCCAAATGGCTGATGAACCCAACCCTTAAGCCTGCTGAATTCCAAGCATCTATCTAAACAAGCCCTCAATTAACTGATTTCCTTGTGGGCTATACAAGATCAGGAGCTGAGTACAGCTCTGAAATGTCACCAAGACAAGTAGATTTCCATTAAGATGGGTTAAAGAGAAAAAGTGAATTCCTGAACATCTAAAAGAAAAATTACCAACTCAAATACCATCATGCCCAGCAAGAAAGCTTTTTATTTTTTATACTTTAAATTTTTAAAACATTTTAGTTTAATTTAGTTTTATTTTGTATTGAGACAGGGTCTCACTGTGTAGTTCAAGCTGGTCTTGAACTTACATGTGGCCTAGGCTGCTTCACAGTCAGGACCCCGTCAGATGACAGGGAGGGACCTCATGGCCATCTGCCTGCCTCAGCCTAGCTTTTCAAAGTGATGTCTTGGGTTATATCCCTAAAAATTCTGATTTCATTGGTCTGGGATATGCCTGATCATTTGGATTTTTAAATATTCTCATGAGATTAATGCAGCCAAGGCTAAAAACCACTGCCTACATGAAGAATGAGCCCCATCAAAGGCAATCGAAACAACTATGGCCAGTTTTCTGAGCAAAAACATCAGCAATGAGAACAACAGATTTACTCCTAATTTAGCTCTTTAGACGTTGGTTTATAACCCTGGTCCAGCCCTGCGTGTGTTTTGAGGTTGGAATGCTTCCTGGCTCTCAGACTGGAGGCAGTGCCTACCATGTGAACTCAGTAAACTTGCAGGAGAGGCTACAAACCTGGCGCTCCTCGTGCTTGCCGTGCACCTCGATCACGTCTCCCAGCACCTTCACCTTGAGCTCCTCTGGGGAGAAATGCTTCACATCCAGGTTGACAGAGAACCTGTCCTTTTCCAGGCGCATCTAGAAACAGCAAGGGGAGGGAAGGAGGAGAAGAGACGGTAGCAACATGCCTGCACTCATGCAAGCTCATCATCGTGCCGAATTTCTTTCCGTCCAGGTGACTATTTTTCTTTGTCTGCTAAAAATCTTTCTAATAAACATGGTTCTTGGTTGAGGTTTGTCACCAAATGGTATCCAAGATATCCCTCTTGGTAATCAGAACCAAACTTATTTAGAGGCCCGGGGAAGAAGACACTCCTCCCCCCAGGGAGCCAGATGGATGTGGGCATGGCTTCTGCTGTCTTCTGACCCCAGTGCCCAGCTTTGTCATTTGTCTGTGAAACAAAGCCCTCTTCTACTTGCTCAGATCTCTGCCAGGTTTCCCACTCATTCAATCTGGAATGTTCTGCTGGTCCTGCTTGTCCTCCAGAGCCCTTGCCCAGTCAGCTCCTGTTTACTCACACAAATATTTTTAAACCAGTGTTATCTGTGACCGCTTCTGTTGGTGCTATCTGCTCACCCCTTCCCACCCTCTTGGGGCGTGATGGGGGCTCCTAAGCCTGGACGCACATTCTTTACTTATAAGGCTTGGACGGAGGCCAGTGCCCTATTACAGTCCTGATGAATACAGAAAATCATAGACAGGGAATAGAATGGAGGAAAATAGTGGTCTTGTCTCTAATTCCACCCAGAGGGGATAAAGAGCTCAGGATGAGACAGGTCTCTCTCTTTATCTCTCTGCACTCTGAAACTTGAAATGATAAAATACTTCTCTTCCAGGAGTATGAGGTCTCAGGAGAGGTGAATAAAGAAGTGCGAAGGTGGCTCTTTTTGTGCAGATCGTTATGAACCAAACTCGAAAGGGCCTCCTGCTTACAGGCCAGGAGACAGAATGATCTTCGTTGTGCATGAAAAAGTTAGTAAGTGGGGTACAGAAGAGTATCACATAGAAAGGCTCTGGGGAGAGAGGCACTAGTAACCTTATTTTTTTCACTTCTGGATCCACGTGCACCTACAATGGCTTAGTCAGGGGAAAAGGGAATTAAAGCAGTGCAGAAGTATCAAGGACGTTGCAGGAAGGATGCACCTGCCCTGGTGAGGGGAGACTCACCTCTGAGAGTCCAGTGTCAGCCCAGCTGGGTAGCCGCAGGAATGAGGGTGGCCGAAGGTAGAAAGGGCTCAGGGACGTAGAGGTTGGGAAAAGCTCAGACTCCAGCAGGTGCTCTCCGAAGAACTGGTCAAAGAGGCGGCTGGGGGAGGGGAAAGAAAAGAAGGGGCGCCGGAACCAGGGGTGGTGGATGGCGATGTCCATGGCGGCCTGGTGAGTGGAGGGGATCAGCTGGCTGGTCAGCTCCTTCAGCTGCAGCTACAGCCGGGCCCTTATATATGCAGTCTTGTGAAGCTTCTGGAATGGTGATGTCAGGGGTTTTATTATACTCGTTCACGGCCTGTTCACCGAGACTTGTGATTGGGGATTTGGCAGTGTGACACAACCAGTACTCACTGAGCTAAGAAAAGAGAAACACAAACACGTCTGCGCTGACCAGTCACTTGCCATGGTCTTGCTTCCCTAGCTTTCCCTCCACTCGCCGGCACCCTCCCCCACCCTTGTTCTCCGGAGCTGGGACTCAGGAATCCCAAGCAGGCAGGGCCATGGCCACCCCTCCTCCTCTCCAGCCCTGCATGCCAGGGGAACTGGGCCAGCAACTATCTTGGGCCTGGGCAGGGACTGGAATCTTCCTAGGCAGGGCCAAGGGGACATTAACTCTTTGTGGGTCTCTGAAGAAGTGCAATGGCAGCCAACCTGTCAGTCAGTACCAGGCATCTGAGTGCTGCCCCAGGTTGACCTGAGTTCAGGAAAAGACCTTGACCTTAATCTGAGTACAGAGATTGCCCTCAAAAGGGACGGAAATTTTTCTCGCACCTTTCCCGCTCTGAGACTAGCAGGACATTATGAAGCCTCAAGTGTTTTATGAAATGGGGTGCACCGCGGCTGCAGCGGAGGAGAAAAGGTGAGGCTGAAATCTGCCAACGGTGAGGAGGTCCCAGCCAGGCCTCTCTGGGCTCGCTGCTGGCCCAGCACCACCTTCCTCCCCGGCTCGGCTCGCGGCTGGCCAGGACCCCCAGCTGTCCGTCCTCGGCGACAGCTGAGGCCGCGAGGGGCAGGGAGTCGGGGTCCGGGCAGCCTGCTCCCGGCCTGGTCGCAGCGGGCCCCTGCTCCTGCCCTGCCCTCCCCTCTCGGAGGCCCCGCACTATTTTGGGTGGTGTCGACCCCGCCCCCGCCTCTGACTGCTGCCTGGCTCCCCGGGCAGCTGGAGGGTCGCGCTGAGCCTGTTGGGGCTGCACCTCAGACCAGGGCCACTGCAGCTATGTCTGGCCGCTCGGTGCCACATGCCCACCCGGCCACCGCCGAGTACGAATTTGCCAACCCGAGCCGCTTGGGCGAGCAGCGCTTCGGAGAAGGTATGGGCTGGGTGCCACCCGGAGCCTCCCACCCCCACCTCCTGAAATTCTGGGCTGACTTCCCAAAGCTGCTGGCCCCAGCCCCACTTGGGCTTAACTGAACTCCCGGGGCAGCCATCTCCCACCCCAGTCATCCTCCTGAGCTCCAGCAGGCCTGTCTCCTTCCTCCCGACCTCGGGGCCCTGCTGCAGCCCCTTGCCAGCCTGGTGCGCCTCTGTGTCCCCTGCAGCCACCAGGCCCAGGCTGGCTCCTGCCTCCAGCCGGCTGCTTTCCCTTCTCAGCCTCCTCTTCCTTCCCACGGCTTCCCTCCCTGCAGTTCCCTCTCGCTCTTCCGCTGCTGCACCTCCCGATTTCTCATTGCATCCCTGTGCCCACCTCATCCTGCCTCTCTGCTTCTCGTTCTCTGCCCCTCAGGCCTCCTGCCGGAAGAGATCCTGACCCCCACCCTCTACCATGGCTACTATGTCCGGCCTCGGGCTGCCCAGGCTGGGGAGGGCAGTAGGGCAGGGGCATCGGAGCTTAGGCTCAGTGAGGGCAAGTTCCAGGCGTTTCTGGATGTGAGCCACTTTACCCCGGATGAGGTGACTGTGAGGACTGTGGACAACCTGCTGGAGGTGTCTGCCCGCCACCCCCAGCGCCTGGACCGCCATGGCTTCGTGTCCCGAGAGTTCTGCCGCACCTACGTCCTGCCTGCTGACGTTGACCCCTGGCGGGTTCGAGCTGCTCTTTCCCACGATGGCATCCTTAACCTGGAGGCCCCTCGGGGTGGCCGACATTTGGACACAGAAGTCAATGAGGTCTATATCTCCCTGCTCCCTGCGCCTCCTGACCCAGAGGAAGAGGAGGAGGAGGCAGCCGGAGTTGAGCCCTGACTGCTGAAGATCCAGCATCAGCAAATCCCTTTCCACTTCCCTCCGTGATTGGAGCAGGTGCCCACCACCAGAGGTAGTGGCATCCCTACGGGAATGGGAATGCTCCAGGTCTACAGTGTATGGTTTGGTCCTCGGGACATGTTATGGCCTTTGGTTTAGTTCTGGCTGGGGCTGAATAAACCCAAGTGTCAGGGCCTTGTTTGTCCTGCTCGCTGTTCTGTGGCCTAGAAGATGGGGTGGGTGGGAAGGAGGAGGTCATAGCCAGCTAGGCAAAAAGCTACTGTTACGGGTGCCCAACGTCACAGCGCCCTGAGCTCACACTGGACACTGAGATCACACCCGGAAGCTGACACTGGCTCCAGGTCAAATTCCTAACCATAATTTTCTCACAATACAACAAAAGAGAGAATGATCCTGGGAGGGAGAAGGGATATGCCATCCAAACAGCCCAGAGGGCTCTGTCTGAGCTGGTGATTAGAGACACAAAAACAAGGGTCTCCAGACTGTCTGGTCCTTTTTGGATAGGGCTTGGGAAAATGGTTTTTGGCTGGAGAGAGTGGCCTAAAGCCCCAGAATGAATGCTTTGTGTGCCCATTAAAATGGTCTCTGATTCCAAGGGACTGAGTGTGCACAGGTGGAGGCATGGATACGGCAGCCTCCATCATTATCACTAACCCAGGGCCTCCCTGTGCTCTGCACAGGACTGGGTAACCCACCTGAGGAAGCCTGTGGCTCTGACTTTGGAACGTCCCAAATAGAGGGATCACTGTGTCACCCTACCTAACCCAAGACTAAATGCAGGGATCTAGTGTTCTTATTAGCAGAGATGGTGTCCTTAGGCAAGCCTGGGGGGGGGGGGGGCAGAGGCGTTCACATGTATGATCTGGGGGGGTGCCAGAAGAGTTGCTTTTTCCAGACTATATAGATTTTTTTCCAGGCTGTGATGGACACCAGATATAACTCCTGATTAACCTGATTAACTCCCCAGAAGTTAGTTCAGAGCCCTGACTAAGGTGGTTATATCTGGGGGCTGGGGATTTAGCTCAGCAGCATATGCGCCTGCCTTGCAAGCAGGCAGTTGTGAGTTCGATTCCCCGTACCGATAAAAAGGAAAAAGACAAAAAAAAAAAAAAAAAAAGGTGGTTATATCTTAATGGGGGACGGGTTATAGACACACTTACAATCTGGCAAAAGCTCTAGATCTTCTTATCACAAAAATACACATACTCCTGTATTTCAAAATATTTTTCAAATAGTTTCACACAATTTTTGAATTGTATGAAACTATTGTGAATTTTCCATTCATACCCTTCTCAGGGATTTGTACACCCCTACGGTAAGGTTCTTCACTTAAGGAATTTAATTATTGGTTAAACACTAACTTCTATTAAAACTATAAGTACAACTCAGAAAAATAGCATTGACTATGCTCAACCATTCATTCATTTAACAACCCCAAGTAATAGTACATGGGGCTACATATTGTAACCGTAAACTATAAAAATAGTAGTCTTGTTATATTAGTAGGCATTTTAACACCTAGTTGATAAAAAACAAAGTAAAAAGAAAAACTTTACTTAGATTTCAACACTGGCCTGTTTGGCTCATTCTTATTTGTTCATTTTTGGGTGGGAGACTGAATTCAGGGCCTGGCACATGCTTGTACTCTACCCTAAACTACATCCTCAGTCCTTGAGCTTTTCTGAAACAAAGGATTCCTAAATAGAGAAAGTTTGGAAATCTCTGATTTAATCCAAATCCCCACACCATTCAAACTCTTTTAAGGTTATCAATCAACCTTTTTTTTTTTTGAGACATTTTACATGATAGAGAATTTAGAACTTCATAAAGTAGCCTATTCCTTTTTCTTTTTTGACATAGCTTATAAATTATTGCTTTTTTATTTTAAAAAGCCAAACAGAAAAAAAGGATAGAAATGACACTGAATTTCAAAACAAACAAACAAACCAGGAAATCAACTCTAGTTGATATATTGCATATTGTTATCCTAGAAGTAGTTGTTCAGGTTACAAGATCTAGACACAAAAATAATCAATCAAGCAACATTCTACCTTGTGTTGAGCCAAAATCTGCATTTCAGTAATTTGAGCACTTAGGTGTTCCTTATGTTCGGAAAGCGAACATAAGCCCTCTTCCACTTGAGAGAGCTTCAGATATTTAAAGATACTGCTCTTCTAAGTTTTCCTTTTCCCAGACAAGTAGTGCCTAGTTCTTTTGCTCGTATCATATAGTGCTTTCTGCACCACTTATTACAGACGACTTTCTTTTGAACATTGGCATTTGACAAAGTACCTCGAAGTTCAGCATAGAGACCTTGAATGATTATTTCAGGCGTTGACGACTAACTAGCCCAGATTTCAGAGGGATAATCAGTCCCTTACTCCTTAATACTCCTACACACTACCTGAGGCACATCAGGCTTTCTACCACAAATGCGCTATTGTGTTCTGTGGACTTTTTCTCTTAGGTGATTTTCTATAAATTACAGAAGTGTCTGGAAAGATTCTAGAGGGCTTTGAGTGGCAGACTCAGGGTTGAACTCTGTCCTACAGGTAACAGGGAATTATGAATGGTTTTTGAGCTTCGTGGAAGGAGCAGATGAACAGGATACAGTTACGGGCAGGCGCAAAGAGGTCTAGGGAGAAGCGTGAACAATGAGTGGGTACAAGGTAATAAAGAAGCTGCTTTATCATCTGGTAATTACCTGAGAACTAAAATAATAGCAGCAACAAAAATAGCTGAGATTTCCTGAGAGCTTTCCATTTGTCAGGCCCTGGACTAGAGCTTTTTTACATGTATTTTATTTGATCTTCCCAATAATAATATGAGATTGTCATTCTTATCCCCGATTTTCATAAGTTAGTTCAGAGCCCAGCGTGCTCTGTGGAGTAGAGGCATTTGAGAAAAACGTGGAAGAGGAGATAAGCACACAGAAAATAAAGGTTGTGGGTTCACAGATTCTTCTAGAGCTCGTTTTTTCCTGCAGGGGAATTGCTTCAGCGGCCTGGTGAGTGTGAGTATAATTTGGGGTCTCTGGAAGAAAAGCTGAGTGGAGGGTGAGGCTCTGTAGGGCTGAACAGAGGATGGGAAGAGGGCGGCCACGAGGTGCTGAGGCCGTTCTAATTATAGAGTCATCTGGTTTCATACCAGGAAGGAGATGAGATAAATTCAGTTAACTTTACAATCCTAGAAACCTAGGCACTAAAAGTTTAAGCATCTGCTCACATTAATTCCAAAAGCAAGGGAGAATATAACAGGAATTCACTTCTATAAATTCCAGGTTCCACGAGATCCTGGTATTCGAACCCAGAATCTGGACAGAGATCATACTGGTACTAATTACCTGGAGAGTGAAACCCAGCCTGGTTCGTGCTTGGCAAACTTAAAGCAAGGTTTTTTTAGTCTGTTGTGGAGGATATATTTCAAAGACAGTGTGATGTAACTGAGAAACACTTCCTGAGGAAACCCTTTTCTGTTTCAGGTCTCTTTTTAAATTGAGGTTTGAAGCTCAGAGTTCATGGCTTCATGTGCAGAAGCTTCCAATCCCGAAGGTGAGGGAGGCAGCCCTCTCACCTGGAGCCCTTGTGTGTGGTTCTGCCATTTGGCTGGGTGCGGTCAGCTGGGCATCAGTCCAGCAGGTGCCTTCCAAAGTCCAACCTGTTAGGTTGAAACCTGACCCTGCCAGGGATCCCTGGGAGTTGAAAAAGGAAAGTCAAACGAGAAGCAGGAAATGCACAAGCCTCTTTATGTTGAAAACAGCTGGGCTCCCGGGGAGCCAAGCCGCCATGGGAAACGGGCTCTGCTGTGGGCGAAGTTGGTGAGTAGGGTGGAAGGGCGGACGGCACAGGCTCTGTCGGGGGATCTGGAGGCCCCGAGGAGCAGAGAGTCAGTGTCTCCCACTGCCACCTTCCTGTGCCCCTGTGCCGGGCACTCCTGGTGCCAACACCGGAGAAGCACCTCCTTCCGCTTACTGCTTTTCTGGAGCCCACAGAAAACAGCGAAGCGGCTGTGTGTGGAGTGGCCAGGCCAGGGCTGGGAGGAGGAACCGGCACCGTTTCTTTTTGCCCTTTTGCTTTGCTTTCCTCCTTTCTCTTCTTCCCCAGATTGTAATTGCAGTGCTCCGCAGCTTTCGATGTGCCAGGCACTCACTCACAATATCACTTAATTTCTCAACACCTCTCTGAGTAAGTGGTCTTGCCCCTTAATTTATTTTTCTGGTACCAGGGTTTGGACCTATCCCTCGTCAGGTTTGTTTTTTTTTTTTTTTTTTTTTTTTTTTTTTTTTGTCTTTTTCCTTTTTATCGGTACCAGGGATCGAACTCACGACCGCCTGCTTGCAAAGCAGGTGCTTATGCCGCTGAGCTAAATCCCCAGCCGCTTCCTCATCAGTTTTTTACTTTTTATTTTGAGATAGGATCTCACCAACTTTCCCAAACTGGATTCTCCTGCTTCGGCCTCCCAGAGTGCTGAGGTCACAGATATGCACCATCACAATCGCCCTCTAGCTGCTCCTTACAGGGGACTCGTATGGTGGCACACACCTGTAACCCCAGCTCTCTGGGAGGCTGAGGAAGGAGGCTCACACGTTTGAGCCCAGCCCAGGCAATTTAGTGAGAACCTGTCTCAAATAAAAAGGGCAGGGGGTTAGCTCAGTGTGAAGCCCTTGGGTTCAATTTAATTTCCAGTACAAACAAACGAACAAACTTGCTGAAAACCTCAGGGCTAGTCTGACATGGTCACCTGACTGAGAGCCTGGTCTAGAGACTGCTAGTCCAGGCATTCTTTTTTTTTTTTAAAAACTTTTTAAAAACTTTTTATCGGTACTGGGGACCAAACTCACGACCGCCTGCTTGCAAGGCAGGTGCTTATGCCGCTGAGCTAAATCCCCAGCTCCGTCCAGGCATTCTAACCAGTATTATTTTTTCCTTCTGAAATGTTTATTAGGATTGGATAAAAATTGTTCTCTATCTTTTGTTGTCTCAATAAACCACCAGACCCTTCAAGATGCTATGACAACCGAAGATTTTCATTGTAAAATATTCCTTTTCTTCCTCCCTTCCTTTTTTGGCAGTGCTAGGGATTAGACATAGGGCCTTGATGCTGAGCTACATTCTAGTCCTTGTTTATTGTTGAGAAAGGGTCTTTCACTCAGTTGCTAAATTGTTCAGGGTGGGATTCAGAGTGATGGGATTACAGGTGTGCACCACCATGCACAGCTTCTTTGTTGTTATTTATAGCATTTGAAAATACTCAAAGCAGAAAATGCAGAGCAACCATAAATATGAGTACCCAGAGTGACAGAAACATTTTAATACGTTGTCATATTATTTTTAAATGTGCACATTTTTATCCAAAACATATAACTTCAGAAAAAGTAAAATTTTCCATGCTATTCGAAGTTCTTCCAACATCCTTTTTTAAGTGCCTACATTTTCTATGGTCTGGATGTGCTATGATCTCAGTCAGCCCCCAAATATTGGCAATTTCTTACCTTTTGATATTATAAATACTGCTATGATAAATATTATTTGCATATGTATTATAATTTCTTAGGATATTAATTGATACATCAGAAAGTATATACATTTATGTTCAGTGCCTTTGTTTGTTTGTTTGTTTGTTTGTTTGTTTGAGACAGTCTGGCCTTAAACTCAATATGTAGCCAAGACTGGCCTCAAACTTGCAGCAGTCCCAAGTGCTGGGATTACAGGCGTGAGCTACCAAGTTCAGCTTGCAATGCTTTTTATACTTATTGCAAATTGCATTTTAGAAGGATTGGATCAACTTTTATTTTTACTACCACTGTAGAACTGTCCATTTAATTGCTCTAATTCTGATCTAAAAATAATTTCTGTCACACTATGAGTACTCTGGGTTATTTCCAGGCATTGTACAACATCGGTTTAGGAGCAGACTCGGTTCACTAAAATTGGATAGCCTCGTCACGTATTTTAGAATTAACATTTTCTCTGTCCGGAAAAAGTAGTGACAAGAGGCAAGGAACAAGAAGATCCTCTAGCTCCTAAAATAAGGCTGTGACTGGGTAGCCGTATCGCAAAGCAGGCGCTAAACGGCAGAGGAGGAATCCAAAGGCCAAGAAGTTATTTCATTTTTTTATTCCTATTTTTTGCCAAGCCACTTGTAGCATGTGGATGAATACTAATTGCTCTCCCTTCTGCAGGCTGTACAGCAACCAAAAATCACACTAAACGCAGCCCTCTTTTAGATATATGTGAAGAAATCCTCAGTGTTTTCCCTACGGTAATGCAGCCAACAAGAGTTAAAAATCTGTCTCTTCCTGTCACTTTAGTTAGCAAAAGACGGAAACTTTCTGAGAAGAGGAGAAATCAGACAGACAAGTAAGGTTTGCGCTGGTGAGATTTAGAAATGTACTAGCAGGAAAAAGCATCCAGAGTAAGTCCCAAAGTATGCAGTCTATTTGCTCAGATTAGAAGTGTTTTTCTGGGCATTGAACTGTGGACAATCACACAGCCGCACAGGCTCCATTGGGACCCCTGGGGCTCCGAAATGAACGTTAAAAGTCTGCTGTGCACCGAGGAGGATGGGAGAGCTGAGTCACTCCCCAAATTCAGCGTCTCCTGTTCTGCAGACAAAGTCCTCCGAAGGACGTTAAAGGTTAAACATGTCTCACTTTCTCTGCTAATTAAAACGAGCACAGTTGAAGCAGAGAGTGAGGTTACTTAAAGGGTTTTGAGGGACCTGAACTAGTTAGCCCTAGCTGTGGCAGCTTACATGCCTTCCAGAATGAGTCCCAAAGACCCAAAAAATAACATTAAAGAAGCACCAAGAGCATCTCTGGATCCAAGAGAGTGTCCTATTATTTGGCAGGTTGCCCTTCACCTCTGCTGGGATTAGCTTGTTAGACAACCCAGAATAGCCTTCAAGCCAGCTGCCTGTAGGGACCGGTTGCCTACCACTGTATTTTGGGTCTGGTTATGTCAGTTGTACCACTCTACTTTCCAGAACTGTTCATCTGGGAAGCATGTGGTACCCTGACAAATGCTTCTGGGCTGAACCTGGCTTTAGCGAGGTGGGGAAAGTCATCCCAGATGTTGAGCCCACAAAGCAAACAATGAAGGAGGAAAGATAGAGTCCAGGGCTCTTCTTGCACATGGGTGATTTCTGTTTCCTATCCCAGGAGCAGTCCAGCACCTTTCCAGAACAAAAACAAAACAGGTAACTGTAAGGGGGAGGGGACCTCAGGGGGGAGGGGCAAACAAGAGAGGATAATAAAACTGACATCTTTGGAAAGGGTAAAAAAGTACAAAAGAGGAGTGGCCTTAGAATGGATAAAGGGTGACAGCACACGAAGAGACTCTCAGCCCCGGACCTATTGATCCTATTTTTCTCATTATTTTAGAGTGGCAGGGTTGGTTATTCATTGTTTCATTCATCCAGCAAATATTACCAAGCACTTACAATGTATGTGAGTCACTCTGTGGGGTCCCAAGGCGGCAGAGAGTTGCAAGGGGAAGGGTCAGTAGTCTCAATCCTGGAAGATCTGACAATCACGTTTGGGAGGTACACGCACTTAACCCAGTAACTGAAGTGCTATTTAGTAGTTTTACAAGACGTGTACACTCATGCTGCGGGAGAATGAAAGAACTGATATTGGGGATGGGGATTTAGCTCAGCGGCATAAGCACTTTCCTTGCAAGTGTGCGGTCGTGAGTTCGATCCCTGGTACCGATAAAAACGAAAAAGACAAAAAAAAAAAAAAAAACTGATGTCAAAGCAACACAAGTTTACAGAATAGCAGAAGAGGGACAGGAGGACATTTTAGGCAGAGGAATCAGCTCCTGCAGAGGGAGACTGACTCACCCTGGCACATGGGTAGAGCTGGGCACTTACAATTGCGTTGTGGTAGTGGTCTGTTTACTGTCTTCCCTAGCAGAATGTAAGCTAAGACTGAGAAAAGAGTCTACTCGTCGCAGGACAGAGCTGGCACATAACAGGCTCGCAATACATATTTGTGGAACTATCTTTAAGGGTTGGTGAAAAATGAGGATGGACAATATTATAACCCATCGTGAAAGTCCTCGACTGAATACCCTGCAACAAAGCTTTGATATAGGAACAGTAGCAGGGAGAGAAGTGGGAACAGAAGCAGGGAGATTAGTTAGAAGCCAAACACAACAGGTTAATAGAGATTGAAGAGGCAGTCTCGTAGAGACAGAGAAGAGAGAATGGATTTAAGTTTGATTTCTTCCCTGCAGGGAACCAAGCAAGACACACACTGAGGAGCCAGCAGCAGCAGCCACAGCAGAATAGCACAAAGGTATCTCTGTCACCCAGGGACTACTCAGATGAGGGGTTCCAGTTACTCAGCTTTCACCCGGAGACAGACACATTTCAGCCACCTGTAGATGGCTGATTTTGCCTGGCTCCTCCGTCCCTGAAAGGGCAAAGCAAAGGGACTTCCATCTAACTGGCTCAGCATATGGAGGTGAGGGACAAACCACGTCAAGAATCTTCCTTAATTCTGTGATTGTTTGCAGGGTCATAAATTAACTGGACCTATGTATGAGCAGGTGTTACAGCAGCCTGTATCCCCAAAGAGGAGTCAAGACCTCACATCGGAGGAGAGCAACTTACATTACGCAGACATACAAGTGTTCAGCAGTGCCCAGCCGCGCTCTGCCAGCGAGGTGAAACATCTGCAGTTAGAAAATGCTACAGAATATGCCACCCTTTGCTTCCCCCAGGTCACACCACGCTATGACAGCAAGAATGGAACTCTGGTGTGAGTCTCGGGGAGAAGGCACCAGTTTCCGTCATCTTAATCACTACTCCTGTGCGGAGACTTGACTACTTTGGGGAGTCTGGTGGCAGCCCAAGGATGCTAAGCCTAAAGAACTCAAGGGCACTTGGAATTGCGGGCGACCTTCTTCTGTCCCCTAGGTCTCTTATCTGCCACTGTTATCCTGGAGTTGTGGTTGGGTTAGCTATAAATGGATGGAACTCTATGAAACCATGCTAGGTGGAGTGTTCTAGAAGGTAGGTCTTTAATCCCTAATATAGCTTGGGCTCTCAGATGTCCCGGGGCTGACCTGTTAGGCTTTATTTAAAGGCATTCCTTTTACACACCTTAAACTCCAACACTGAAGGGAAAGTACTCTAGAGAAGCATTCTGAAATTTCGCAACTACCTTTTGGCCTGGGAATTTCCTCAGTGACTGAGTCAAAGGTCCCAGACCTAGCAGACAAATGGAGGCAGGAACCGAGGCACAGAGGCAGCCTTCTCCGTCCGACCACTGGCCACAAAGTCTTTCAAAGCACCGATATCAAGGGCCGAGCAGCCCGAAAGTCCCGTTAGGCAGATGTTTAGCTCTTGCCTGCCCAGAGTCGCTAGAATCAATAAAAGCCAAGAAGAGCTGGTCGGGTTCGTTTCCTGGGGCGAGCTTTTGCAGCGGGTCGCCACCGGTCTAAATCGGGTGGCGTCCAGGCCAGGGGAGCCGGGCCTTGCAGACGGGGCGGGGCCTTGGCTCCTGGAGGCGGGCCCGGGTCAGAGGTCGTGAGGTGAGAACCGGCCGGGACCGGCCCTGGCGGCTTGGAGGCGGGGTCTGGAGCCAGGGGGCGGGGTCAAAGCCCGCACGGCGCCCGCGTGCGGCCGCTGGAGAGCGGCCAGGCCGGAGCCCGCCTCCGCGTCGCTATGGCAACGGGAACGCGGCTGCCGCAGACCAAGCAAATGCTGGCGGAGCTGCGGAGAGAAGCGTTGAGCCAGGCGGATCCCTAACAAGAGGTAGGCGTCCGTGGGTGGCGGTAAGTGGGAAACATCATCGCCAGTGGTTGAACAACCAGGTAGACTCTGGGCCCAAGCAGAAGGGACTAAGGCGGAAGTTTGGCGGTGTGAGCTCGCTCTGAATCTGGTGGATTCTTTCTGGGCACGTAGATCCCAATTCAGAGTTTAGAGCTTGGAGACCATAGCAACGCACTTTCTCCACCTGGACACCGTCCAGCGCACACATCGCTGCCCCTAGGTCGGCCCCTGAGAAGGATGCTTTTCTGAAGATGAGTAGAGGTGGGATGGAAACCTAGAGAAAGGCTGGCAATAGTGTCGGCCTCACGGAGTGCTGGTGAGCATTTCAAATGCGTGCCCAGGCCGTGTCATGCGGTCAAGTGTGTGTGTGTGTGAGTGTATGTGTGTGTGTGGCTGCCACCATCATCGTCGTCACCGTCATCATCTTCGAGGCTACCCGGCTTGTTCCCTGGCAAGGACCTGGTTAGTGCCAGTGGATCCTTAACAGCCGCCTGAAGCTTTCACGAATTGGATGGAGCAGCTCCCTAGCCTATTTTCTGTGTTAGCTGGGGTGGGGGATTTCACTGTTTTCAAGGGTTATGAACTATGCAGGTCTAATAAAGTGATGTAGATGATAATACTTTGTACACTTTAGTTTCTGTGTACGGATCTGCATTAAAATTATAAATGCTTTTTGGGGTTAAAACTGAATTTCTGAGCATGAAAGAGGTAAATGCCAGAAGCAGAACTCTTCATGTTGTTATCCTGTGATCCTTGAAGTCCGGGAAGAAGAGAAAAAGAAAGGGGACATTTAAGTAACTAGGTTTTATTGCAAAAACTTAAGTAACTAGGTTTTATAATGCCACTGTAATAGTCCTGTTGGAATTATAGTTTCTTAGGTTCCATTTTCGGCTAGTAAGGGTCTGTTTCTGGTACTTCAAGGTGAGTTAAGTTAGTAGCTTTGGAGAAGGAGCCTGACCTCAACTAGGTTGGTTCCCCCCCCCCCCATTCTGCGTATTTGCACGTTTTTCTTTTCCCACTTTAAGGTGGCTCTGATTTGACTCTTCTAGGGACTCTGAAGATGGGGACTCAAGTGATTGTGAGACTCTGTAACACCTTGCTGCCAGCAGAGCCCTCTGTAAGTTTCTGATATGCTGTGGAGTTGAAGATATTACTGGAATTTTAGTGTAGTTTTGCATGGAAGATTTCAGATAGGGCGCGGATCCTGGAACAGAATTGTTATATTTGCCCTCATTTCTTTCTATTTCTGTGGAATTGTAGCTCACTAGAGCCTTGATTCATTATCTTTCTGGAGTTAGTAAAATCAGGCTGAGATTGAAAACTTTAGCAATTAAGATCATGTACATAGTTTAAAACATTTAAAGTTTGTTGTAGAAAGAAATAATGTGTGCTAATTACAGAGCATTTGAAAAATATTTGAAACTATGATTAAAAATAAAAACACAGCTAGGCACAACTGAGGAAGGCTGGGACAAGAGGATGACAAGTTCAAATCTCACCTGAGCAACTTAGTGAGACTTTATTCCAAAATGCAAAATAATAGCTTAGTGCAAAGGCCCTGACTTCAGTTCCCAGTTCTGTAAAACAAACAAGCAAACAAATAACACCAACCACATCCAAAAGCAAACATCGTTAATATTTTAGAATATACCGTTCCAGTCATTTTTCTGTAAATGTTTTACTTGAGATCATATTATGTGCAACCATTTGATTTCTTCTCATTGCCTGTTTGTTAATATGAAACTGTGTACATTTTTGAGAGAAGATCTTGCTATATAGTGCAGGCTGGCTTTGAACTCACCGTGTAGCCCAGGCTGGTGTGAACTGTTGGCAATCCTCCTGCCTCAGTCTCCAAAGTGCTAGGATTACACATGTGCCACATTCCTGGTTTAAAAATGTTTGGTTTAATGGGAAACCTGTTTGGTAGACATTATAATGGCTGTAATTTTCTTGACCAATCCTTTGTTGAGTCTGCTCACATTTCAAATAAGTAATTTCAGACCACTTCAAATGATGTGAGCATTTTAGTCACTTTTCTTTGAAAAAAAAAATTGTGATGCCAGATTTTATATATCCTTCAGAGGAGAGCTGAATGTTAGTTGGAAGATAGATAGGTCTTGGTAGGAATCTGGCTACCTCATGTAATGAGACCCTAGGTGCCAAAGAAAGATTATTTTTGGTAGTGTAATTAGTAACATGGAACCCTGACTGTGGAGAAGTGCAGTATGGGACTACTTAATTTTCCTAGTAGAGAAACGCAAGGGCCACTTCCAAAATATCCACCAGGTGTCGCTGTCTTATAGTAATTCTCCCCTGGAATAGCTGGCAGATAACTTGAAATGTGAATTTTAAGAATTCATGTAGACAATATTTGCATATCTGCTTTGGGACAGTTTTTTTTTGACAGTGCCATCTGGTGATTGGCAGTGTCCTCGTCTCTCACTGTGCTGCCCATTGGTCCTTCTCCCCATTTGTCTGTCACGTTTCCCCCGTGTACTCTGTGCCCCCATCTTAACGTTGAGCTCTGTTTCACTAGTTTTTCTTTTCTCCCTTCACCGTTTTTTCCCTCCAGTCCTGTTTCTTGCCTCTATGTGTATTTGTGTATTTTTGTGCAGCTATCAGCTCAAGTTTTTGATAAAAGAAAGGGACTTTGCATACAATGATATAAAATGAGATTCACCCTATCTTTAATGAATGTTTATAATGAAAGAGTACATGGATGAAGGAGATAAAAATATAGAAAGATACTAAAAATTATTTGTAGTTTGCTTGAAAATTTATAAAAAGAGATAAAGTCCAAAATAAATTATAATTAAGTCCCAAATGATAGAGAATTGAACATGGTCATGGTAGACCTTTGAACTTTAAAAAGAGAGAGTCATTCAGGCTGCCGGCATTTACTGAACATCTACTACGTCCCAGACAGTATTCTTGGCTCTGGGAATAAACCAGTAATAAAGCATACAACAGTCCTTGTCCTCGTTGACCTATGGGGAAAAATTGATGCTCGGCAAATGAACAAGCTGTTGGCAGGTGGGCACGTGCCTATAACCCCAGCATTTGGGAGGCCGAGGCAGAGGAATTGCTGCAAGTTTGAGGCCAACCTAGGCTCCGTAGGGAGTCCGAGGCCAGTCTGAACTACATAGTGAGAACTTACCTCAAAATACCAAACATCAATAAATGTGAGCTGTACAAGGTAACAATGGATGACACCAAGAAGAAAAAAAAATAAATCAGGCAAAGAGGCTGCGAGTGTTGTAAAAGCAGTAAGAAAGTATGAGAGAAATAAATAGAGCACTAAGAGAAGGCCAAAATTTATAAGATGTTACATATGAAGATACCTAAAGGAGAAGCAGGAGTGAGCCGTGATGAATGTTAGAAAGACATTAAAACAATCAGAGGCCAGCAGAGGGGCGACAGCTCATTGGTATAGTGTCTGCCTAACATGCGTAAGGCCCTGGGTTCAGTTCCCAGCATCTCAAAAACAACAATGAAACTCAGTGGTGAGAGGAGTGTTCTAGAGGGAATGGAACTTGAACTCGGCATGGTGACGACGTGGCAGGGCAAGGCTGTGTATAGCAGCATTCTGGGCTGCATGGAAGCAAAAACAAGTCTTACGAATCCGTGAGTCAGTGAGGGATCCTGTGATCTGAACAGAGAAGCTTTGGGAGGAAGCTGAAGAGCGGGATGCAACTTTTATCTGACATGCTAAGAAGAGGCGAGCTTGAAGAAATTGGGCAGTGGAGCTGCAAGATGAATACGTCGTCTAAGAAAAATTAAGATGAACGTGGGCTGGCAGGTGAAGGTCTGGAGGCAGCAGGTTAGGGCAGAGCACTTAGCGTGCACAAGGCTCTGGGTCTCATCCCAGCCCTACAATACATAAACAAGTAAGGACACAAGTAAAAGCACAACTTAGGGACCAGGAAATGTTTGGTGGTGAATAGGAGCTTCCTTGTGTATTTCTGTGCTGATGCCGCTGAATGTAAATTAATAGGAGTTGTAGACACATTCCTCTCAAGGAACTCAGCTAATATGAGAAAACAGAAGGAGCAATAAGACATTGTTGGAGGGTCATTGAACATGGCTTTATTGGCAAATTTAATTACTTGTTTATTCAGACCGCCTCTCTATGTTTTTGTAGTCATGAATGATGGTCTGTAATAGATGTGTTAACTTTTTCATAGGTGTGAATTTCACACATCTCAGTTTTACACAGAGAGAAGTCACAGGAAATATTTTCCTCAAATGACAGTTTTGTTTAAGGCTCAAAGTCTGACTTAGGAAATGTGTGATGGTATTTATTAACAGAAGGAATGAGTGTGTTTGTTAATGTTTCCTCTAGTGTCATTCATTTATTAATTCATCTATAAACATTTACTGAGTGCTTTCGATGCTGTAAGCATCATATTAAAAGAATCATAATGATTTAGAACCTGGAATTTGTCCTACTATTGGATCTGGAACAAATGACTTATTCTACAAATCTCAGTGTCTCCATCTCTGCCTCTATCTCCTGCCCTTTGTCTGTCTCTCTCTGTCTCTCTGTCCTGTCTTTCTGTCTCTCTCTCTCTCTTCCCAGCACTGGAGATCAAACCCAGGGCACACTGAACTATATCTCCAGGCCTTTTAAAATTTTGAGCTGCTAAGTGACCTTCAACTTACAACCCCCTGCCTCAGCTTCCTGAGCAGGATTTCAGGTGTGTAGTACTATGTACTCCTGGCTTCTCTTTCTTTGTATGTTAAAAAAAAACATTTATGGCAATTGTGATCATCAAATGTGCATATTGATATTTATTACAGAACTTAGTGTGCTGGTAGTATACTGGTGAGCGTAGCTGCCCTCCAGAACTTGGCTCAGCTTTGCTATTATTGCCATTATATTAGATATTTGGATAGATTTTACTTTGTGGGGGAGGAATCTTCCATGACTGTCAAAATAACGCAGGGCTGAGAGGTTAGACAGAAGTAAAAGCAGGCAGGCGGCCTCGCAGAGACGTGCAGGCAGCAGTGTGCTGCGTTTCCTGGCTTCTCCTGGCCCCGGTGGACGGCAGGCCTGAAGCAGGGAGAACCGTTTGGCTGCCTGGGCAGCCGGAGTCTTCCCCACACAGCACCGCGGCGTGCTCATCGCCCCAGTTAGTCCTGGTTATTTCAGCTGACCCACTTCCTCTCCTGCTCTTCCACTGCCATCCCAGCAGGGCGACAGAGGCAGAACGGAATCGTAAATGTTAGTATTGCTTAGAGCTAAAGCTCAGTTCTTCTCCTGGACCGCTTTCTGAGACAGACCATGATAAGTGTGGCAGACATATCTTCTGAAGAAAAAAATGATGCCAAGCATCTGTGCCAAGCATGAGAGGCAGACTATATATGTGAGCTAGTACGGCTTTGGGCACATCTCAATAGCTGTGTAGGGACACTAGAGTACTTTGAGATTATAGTGTCTATGTTTAAATGAATTAAACCTAAATACCATTACGGCTTTAGTCACATTTAAAGTGTTCAATAGCCACACGTAGCTAGTGGTCTCTCTGTTAGATAGCATAGATGTAAAATATTTCTGTCTTCCTAGGAAGCTCTAATAGATCCTATTGCTCTAGGAAGTGCGATAGGCATAGTTGTAGACTTTCTGGAAATGGTGTATTCTCTGGCCAGATGCCCTGTAATAAATCTTTTTATCAAGTCACCACAATTCCTTCTTCATTTTCTCCAGCATGCTGGGAAGGGCCATGGGAAAGTGCAGAGGGCCAGTCCTCGGGGTCTTTGGTTCAGATCTCAGCTCCCATACTGATTTGATAAGTGGTGGTGAGCACCTAACTTTGATTCCTTCATAGGAATTAGATACACTGGGCCAGATGAGCTCTTTATTTTGGAGCTTTAAAATTCAGTGATTGAATAAGTCTCTCCTCAAAAGCACCTAAGCTCGTAGAGTCTATTTGTTCAAAGACTTGTTTGAGGAACAGTGACCTCTGCATAGATAATGGTCAGCAGGCCTCTCTCTGATGTCTGAGTATTGTCTGCTTTGTGTTTAAAGTATCATGAGCTCTCAACTACTCAGGAAGCTCTCCCCAGGGACCCAGCAATTGGGGGCTTTGGTGTTGTGTCACTATGTACACAGATGTG